ACAAACACACAAACCCACACACACACACACACACACACACTTATATGTATATATATACACAAACTAAATGCAATGTACCTCGTTCCTGTATTCAGCTCATGATAAGCCGCATCTATCCACACACTCTTCTTGCTTGGCAGCACGCTAACGGCGTGTGCGTGTATCGCTCGTGCACACTCGGGCGCGCTGTTCTTGGTGCAACTAGCTGCGTCTTCCTTCCACGTGTGTTTGCGATCTTGATCATCCACCCCTGCAGTATGGTAGGTAGGTAGGTAGGGATATGACTATCAGTCCAAGTAACTGTATAGTTGGTAGGTAGGGATATGAATATCAGCCCAACTAACCGCATCGTGGGTAGGTGTGGATATGACTATCAGTCCAACTAACTGTATAGTAAGTAGGTAGGGATATGAATATCAGCCCAACTAACCGCATCGTAGGTAGGTGTGGATATGACTAGCAGTCCAACTAACCGCATCGTAGGTAGGTGTGGATATGACTAGCAGTCCAACTAACTGTACAGTAGGTAGGTAGGGATATGACTATCACGTCCAACTAACTGTATAGTAGGTAGGTAGGGATATGACTATCAGTCCAACTAACTGTATAGTTGGTAGGTAGAGATATGGATAGCAGACCAACTAACCGTATAGTAGGTAGGTAGGGATATGAATATCAGCCCAACTAACCGCATCGTGGGTTGGTGTGGATATGACTAGCAGTCCAACTAACTGTACAGTAGGTAGGTAGGGATATGACTATCAGTCCAACTAACTGTATAGTTGGTAGGTGGAGATATGGATAACAGACCAACTAACCGTATAGTAGGTAGGTAGGGATATGAATATCAGTTCAACTAACCATATAGTAGGTAGGTAGGGATATGAATATCAGCCCAAGTAACCGCATCGTGGGTAGGTGTGGATATGACTATCAGTCCAACTAACTGTTTAGTAGGTAGGTGTGGATATGAATAGCAGTCCAACTAACCGTATAGTAGGTAGGTAGGGATATGAATAGCAGTCCAACTAACCACATCGTAGGTAGGTGTGAATATGACTAGCAGTCTAAATAACCGTATAGTAGGTAAGTGTGGATATGAATAGCAGTCCAACTAACCGTATAGTAGGTAGGTAGGGATATGAATATCAGTCAAACTCACCATATAGTAGGTAGGGATATGGATATTAATCAACCCAACCACTTAACCGTGCACATGATATAGATGTAGGTTTAGTCCGGCATAAAGATACATGGAGTAGGTGTAGTCGAGCATACAGATATAGATAGTAGGTATAATTGAGCATACCAATACATGTAGTAGATGCATGGTGTGATAGAGATGAAAAGTACGTCATGCGATGAACTCAGGAGTGACTGCGGTATATACTCAGGCGCTTTGGTATTGGTACACTACTTGCGTCCTCTCCCTTCCTTGTGATAGCCAGTCAGTCTGTCCGCTGATCATTTGCAAGGACAAATCAAAAGATATACATACGTATATTTATATATATAACGTAAAGATATGTCAGGTGTATGATACGGGCACTAAATGTGGGTGTAAATCTATACGTACATGTACACGCGCACACACGCACACAAGCAGAATCAGAGACGTGTGGTCCTACTATTAAATACCACTACACAAGATACATACCTAGCCCAATAACAGCCATGATGATAGCCTTGGCCGTGTGTATGCTTTCCGACTGCTCACACTCCTCTGCACTTTTGATCCATGCGTCTCTGTTGATCTCCACACCATTTGCTGCTAACACCTTAACGGCACGTTGGATGATCTTATCGCACATGGCCACATTGTCATTGGCTTCTTCCAGCTATGTGGGTAAGAAATACAGGTCGAGCAGATGTCACAGAATATATATATATATATGAATATATCTATATATATATATATATATATAAGCGACTCTATGTATGTATG